CCACGGGAAACTTTGAGCAGTAATTATATTGTGGGGGATATAAGGGGAGGCAGAAAAATAAGTAATTTTCAAGCCAAAGTCGCCACTTGCAACTCTAGTACGTTTCAGTTCAAGTTGGGGGAAGAGGGGAGTTGTAGAAGGAAGATCAATGAGCAGATAGGGGCTGTATCACGCAACCCCCTGCGAAAGAGGCTGCAAAAGCAGAGATCCTATGTAAATTCGTTAATCGTTCTGTTTGCATTTGTTTGTTCCCTACTTCTCCCATCGTACTGGAGTTTACAAAGGAGAACTGGGTACAACTGCTTCTCTTAACGGGTGGTTAGGTAAAGACTTACGATGCAAAGTCACATGCAAGCCTTGCTGGGGCATGCAGCAGTAGCGTTTTATATTTTTTCACTTCAATGAATATAAACTCATAGCAGGTTTATTCTACCTTGAGAGATTCGGTTTTGTCTTAAAAAAAAAACACTTACGGGGAAGGAGGAGAGAATGGAAGACACTGGAAGTGTCTGGTTAGTTATTTTAACGGGACAATCGTCTGCCCTGCGCTGCGACAATCCTACAGTAATGGGGTTGAGACAAAGTAGTGCTCTGATTTTTTCATGTCGTGCTTAGAGGGGAAGAGATGGGTCGTTCTCTCTGTGCAGTTTACAAGCTTTTCAAGTTAAGTCTATTTTCCATCTCAGAACCAAAGCCTCCCCGGACCCTTCTTTAAAAAAAAATGTTTTAAACACTGGCTTCCCCCGTTCACATCAGCAATAATTCAAGAACTGGTTTCTTAAAACACCTAGGAAAAACACACTCAACCCGTTCCTTAGTTTTCTAGTTTCATTCATACACAGCTGTTAAGGGGGGGGAAATACAACATGCATCGTCTGTTTTTGTTTTGTTTTTTTTAGAGAGAGCCCGGGGGTTATAATAAAGCTGGGGCTTTTTTTATTTTAATTAAAATTGAATAAATGCTTAAGGAGAAATTAGTAATCCTCTGCAACCCAGCCCCAGTTGTGTTTGTAACAGACTCAAAGCGTATTAAAAAAAAAAGTAAAAGCTTTTAATACATCAAATATACGGAATTTTAATCTTTAAAGCGATACATTGTCTATTATTTTAGTACATGACGTAAACCTTACCCCCTTTTACAGGGTGGACTTAAAAATTAAAAATAGTTAAGTGTTCCTTTTAAAGAACAAAATAAGGCAAATGAGGTTTTTGGAATAGAATTGTTTTTTTGTTTTTTTTTCCTTCTTCCAGATTACATACAAAAAAATACCAATTCTCTTTCAATTGTATACACCGTAAAAATAATTGCAATTTGAAGTTATAATTGACAAATTGCGAGTTGGTTTTTTAGTAACAAACATGCATGTAACTTTTTTTTTGTTTCAAGGAGACATTAAATAAGAACGTACAATACAATCATAGCAATTTTAAAGTAACATTAAAGAGAAGACCTCTATTTCCTTTTTATTTATATTCTACAATGGGTGTTCAACTTTTACCTATTGAGCTCAGTTAAGTAATGCACTTTATGATTCATTGTCCCGCTTGAAGCTAACATAAATAAATACAGTGCTCACGGATCCAGTCCTCAAATGAACACTATTTTATAAAAAGTCAGATTTCAGCTTGTATAAAGTGTGGGTTTCTTTCCCACCCCTTTTCCCCCTAGGTCGTTTGCAATCCTTACCCCACCCCACACTCACTGGTAGCCCAGAGCGGAGGCTGTGGTAAGTCTCTGCCCGTACAGTGCATAGGGGGAGTAGTAAGGTCCCGTGGCCGCAGGGACTGGCACTGGGGTTCCTGGGGTGGGCAAAGGGCTCTTGGAATAGGGGTGGTAGCGGCTGCTCAGTCCCAAGGCGTGGTGCGGGCTGCGGAGGGCCAGCGTGCCGGGGCTGCCCGGCGCCCCGGTGGTGGGGATGTGCATGTGGCAGGCCATGGCCGCGGCGGCGGCGCTGGCCAGCGAAGAGGAGCTGGGATAGCTGGAGAGGAGTTTATCGGTGCCCGGGAAGGCAGTATGGGTCCGCAAGTGGCTCAGCAGCTCCTCGGAGGTGGCAAAGCGCTTGTCGCAGGGTCCGTTGGCCGACACCCAGTTACAGATGTGGGGCTGGGGGTCGTTGGGGAGCATGAAGCCATAGGGGTACAAGGGGTGGCCGGCCAGCGAGGGCGGGGTGGCCCCCGTCAGGGAGGAGTGGACGCTGTGCAGCGGGTGCGTGGGGTAGACCAGCGGGTATCCGGACTTGAGGGCCTGGTCGTGGGCGCAGGAGGCGCTGGCGGCGCCGGCCAGGTGGCTGGCGCAGTGGTAGCTCAGGCAGTAGGGGTCGCGGCACAGGCTGGCCGTCATGACAGAGGGCGGCGAGGCGCCGGCCAGCGGGCTCGATCCCGCCGGCTTGCTGCAGCCCAGGCTGCCAGCGGCGGCCAGCTGGGCCCCGACCAGGCTGCCGGACTTGGTGGGGTCCAGGGCCACTCCGTGCGGCAGGAACTGCGGCGGGTAGCCGGCGTAGGCGCCCGCCAGCGTGCCCGGGTAGCTCATGCCCGCCGGCGGCAGGGGGAACACAGTCTGACCCGGTTTGTAGGGCGAGACCGGGGCCACCAGGCCGGAGCCCAGCACCGAGGCGGACGAGGTGGCGGTGGTGCTGCTGCTGCAGGAGGACGAGTCCGAGGAGATAGGCTTGGAGCCTGGCGCGCCCTCCGGGTGCTGGCCGCCCTCCACGTTAATCCCGCCACAGCTCACGCTAATCCGGCTGTGGCTGAGGCTGGCGGCGCCCGGGCCCCCGTCCGAGCTGGCGCTGCCCCCTTTGCCGCAGCCCTCCGCGTCTTTCTTGTCCTCTCCTGCCTTGCCCTCGGCCGGCAGCAGCCCCGGCGAGCAGGCGGAGGCGCTGGAGTTGGGGCTGCCTGTCCTTGGCGTGAACGGCTGGCAGGTGGCGCTCGGCACCCGGAATCCCGATTTCTCCCCGCTGGAGACTCCCCCCGAGGCGGCGCCACCGCAGCCCGCGGGGCCCGGCTCCTTCTTCTCGGCGCCCGGCTTGGAGTAGGGCTTGAAACTCGACTTGTCCTCCACGCCGATGTCGCTGAGTTTCAAGGGGCCCGACTTGGAGTCCTTGTCCCCGCCCGCGCCGTTCGAGGTGACCGAGGAGAGTTTGGAGGATGGGGAAGGGTCCGGCTTCCCGATCTGGGAGCACGTCTGAGCCAACAGGGCAAGCGGGCTCTTCTTAGCATCCAGCTGCAGAAATCAGAGGACACACAAAGGCAAACGTTTAATCAGATGTTTTAAAAAAAAGGCAAAAGCAAAGGAAGTCGGCATTTGCCGACGTTTCTTGCAGAGAACGGCCTGAAAAGGATCAACAATTTTGTGCACATTCATCATCCTGACAGCCGCCCCCCCCATGCACCATTTTCCACAATGCCTTTTAAAAGGCAACGGTTTCTTATACCGCGGCGAGACAAACCCCGTCTCTACTGCCTAGGCAAAGCAGCACCCACCCCGGGGGCTTTACAAAGTTCAGCTCCCCCCCCCCACACACACACACATACACACTTTGGCTTTGCCTTGTTCCCACCGCACGCGCGCACAAACGCCCGTAAAGTAGAGCGACTGCACCATTTCTGGCTGGCCACACTATTTAGAAACAGATCGGGAGTTAGCAGGAGAGCCGGGCTCCGGGAAATCTATGGCTTCCCTTTGAACCGACTTTAATGAAAGCATTCATTCACCCAGCCCCAGCCTCCACACCATCCCTCTTTCAGAGTGGAGATCCCTAAAAATATCCTGCCAGCGTAACGCGGAAAAGTTGGACTCAAAACAACACACAAATACCCCACCACAAGCAGGTTATCTTCCGAAGTGAGACTAAGATCAGAAAGCTGTGATCAGCCGCACCCACATTCTCCCCCCCCCCCATATTTTCAGCCAACAAGACTATTTCGCACGTTGTGACTAGTGGGTCCCTAGTCCTTAAGGAGAACAGGCTCCTTCCATCTCTCCCTCCCCAAAAGGGGTGTAAAAAAACAAATAAATTAAACTTTTCATGAAAGAAGGAATGCTAAAATCAGCCACGCTGGAGCTCGCAAACCCAGCCTTAGCTACAGCCGAGAAAGAAGGGATGCGGTTCCTGGTCTAATCGCCTTTCAAAGAGAAGGGAGAGGACGCCATGCAATGATCGTGAAGAGAGACCGCTTGAGCAGGAGGGGGGGGGGCGGGAAGGGAAGGTATCCGGTTCCTTACCTCTATGGGGCTGACGGGGGTGGAAGGCAAAGGCTGCAGATACTCGGGGTGTAAAATGTGTCCCGTCCGAGCCGTGAGCATTTTCAAGACTTTGATGGGAAGCCGATTCGCTTGGCGTAAAGGGTCCGAAGGAGGGACGGAGTGGAAGAAGGGCTTGGTGCAGCTAGTAGTATTCCCAGAGTGCCCGTTCTGCCAGGCGAGATCAGCGGCGCTGCTGAGGCTGAGGCTGCTGCTGCCGCCAATGTCTCTACCGCTGCTGCTGTGCTTACTACTTCTTACAGCAGAAAGCGAGGGCGATGTGATCATGACCCAAAACCTCGCATGAAAACTGGGACGAGTCGCGCTGATCAGCCTCGGAAACCTTCTCTCTTTGGCGAGGGAGGGGGGTGCCAGCCACACACCCCCAAAAGCAAACTAGCAAGAACAACAAACAAAAAAAGGCAGAAAACGTCTCTGGCTTTGCCTAGTGGAGGCGGGGGGAGCCCGGAGAGAAGGGGAAGAAGGAGGAAAAAAAAGCAGAATAATCCCGGGGTGGGGGCTGGGGGGGGATGGTGAACGTGTCTCGCTTGGTCCCCGGCTGCTGCGCTCTCCCTCCTCCTCCTCCACTCAGCTGTGCTGCTGCGAGCCGCTGCTCGTCCAGCCCGGGATCTGGCAAAGAAACTCACTTCAAAAGCAGCTGAGTTAGTCTGAGATTAAAGCCTTTGCCGCCTTCCAATCAAATGGGACCCCGAGGTGATTGGAGGGTCAAGGGGATGTGACGTTCCCCGGGCTGGGGCTTTCTTTTTTTTTCCTACGGTTTTCATGGGTTCTCCCTCTCTCACACTCTCCCCCCTTCTCTCCCTCCCCTTCTTGTTTTTGTTCCTAGGACGGGATGGGCGTTAATTTTGTGTTTCACATCCCGCGCTTTGAAGTCGTTCTCCCGATGCTCCTCACTGCCTCCAGCCTCTGCCAATACATACAAAAAGCACGCTGCGCAACATCAAGGGGAAGCGCGCTCTTTCAAGGGCGCGCCAGGTGGGTAGCCAATACGGTGTGCTAGGTATATTTAAGAGCCCCTGGCCCTCATGACACAGCACAGACTATAACAGCCTTTAAATACTCCATAGTGAATGTGTTTATACAGTTATGTATACAAATATTTATACGTATGCATATATACATCCATGTATTTATATTGTAGGTTACTTATTCGTTCGCTCCAACCCCTCTATGATGGTTTCACCCGTGGCATTTTTGTAACCTTGCCCCACTAAAGCAAGGGCTAGTGTTGATCAGGTTGGATAATGTCCTGCCTCGTGCTGGAGGAAAAGGGGGAGTAGAAAGCTTTTTTTTCCCCCTACTGCTTCATATTTCAAAGTGGTCTTTGACGTGAAACTAAATAAAGTCGCCGTCTCCCCCCCGCCAAGTACGAGCAGAAGCTCTCCAATCAGGCCTACGATGACACTGGGTGCCCAATGCAGAGATTGGGGGATGTGACTGTCACATGTTTTCAATGTTACACACACCGCCCTCCTCCACTCGCTCCCTCTCTTTTTGGATCTCTCCACCCCTCCATCAATTGTCAATGCTCCCCAACCGCAATCAATCAGTTATTTGTCAGCCCCTGTCAATCCGCCCTTGATTTATGTCAGCTTTTGTTGCTGATTACAAGCCTGGTGTGACTTGAAGGAAGAGAGGGAGGGGAAGCGAAAAACGCGGGGAGAGAGACGGGCTCCTTTGAGAAAGAGCCATTCAATGTAAGGAATAAATCGTTCCCCGAGTAAACTCAATTTGTATGCCAACAAAAGGGAGAGTGACTTCTGTTCGCCGCGACGCCACAATATATACCTTGGCGGAGCAGTTTTAATTAACGGGGGTGGCTCTGCTTTGTGTGTGTGCGTTTTAAAGGCGATCCCCCTTCCTTTTCTCCTGCCTCGGTTATTATACCCGTTCTTTGGCGGATGAGGATGAGGATGGGGATGAGGGAGAGGAAGGAGGGCTGAGCTGGGCGAAGAAGACGACTCATGGCTGGGCTTTTTCTCGCCATCCCGTCACTCAAGCGCTTGGCACGGCGGAATGTAGAGGAGATTAAGATTGACATCTTGAGCGGCCGCAGAATGCCAGTACTGACTCGGACAGGCTCAGCAAACGATTACCCGGCATCAAAGGACAGGCTGGGGTGGGCGATGAGTATTTGTTCCCAGTTACCGGAGTTTTCACTTTACATAGCATATGGACTCGCCATTTGTATATGTGCTAAACTGTAACTGGAGCTAGCTGGGGGAGGGGGGGCGGTGCGCCTATAATCTACCTGCCTACCTATCTCCGTGTGTATGTAATATACATATGTGTTTGTATACACAGCCAAAGAGTCTCTAGTATGCACACACGTACTTGGTCCCCTTTTTAAAGATTTCAGTGTTACATGTCTACGAGAAATGCCCCGTGAGTAGGAGGTCATAGGTTGAGGGCACCTCACCTTCCAATGTTGGTAAATTCTTGATCGACTTCCCACCCCCTTTTTGGTGCTCTGGGTTGGATTTAAAAAAAACAACACAACACCAACTTCCCTATCCAGCCTCTTCATCCACTAACATTTTTTCACAGGCAAAATGTGTTAATCAATCTCTTACTTTTGTTTCCGGATCTGACATGGTGGCCCACACGATCTACAACATTAACAAAAAGGTCACTTGGAGAGATAAAACACGTTTGACAAGTGAAGAACAAGGCAAGTGCTTTAGAGGTCGCGTCCAATTCCTGACCTGGACTCCCGCTAGAACAAGGACTGATCCTGGAAAAGGGATTGCTGGGGGGACAGGAAAGAACTTTCACTTTCTTTTGTGGTTGAGTCTGCTGAACCTACCAACATGTGTATGTTTGAAACACAGTCCCCACCCCCAAACTAATGTGTCAGTGTCAGTTCATGCTCTAATATTAGTAGCTCGGGTTGGCATTTTCTCCTAGATCTTTTCCCTTCAAACCAGTCCCTTTTTAAATTCTGAAGTCACAGAAATATATGCAAGGTCTCTTTTAAAAGCCACTTTTCTCTTTGAAATGCGGTGCATGGATCAACCCACCACCATCCTTGAGCCGTGTGTGTGTAGAGGATAAAGTTAAAATGAACAATGTTTTAAATTCCTTGTGTTTGCTATTTTGCCCTAAAACATTTCTGTATTTCTCAAAATGTGATTACTGAAATTGGAAGGGGAGAAAAGTCTTTGTTCGTGTATTTCCCCGAAAAGATGTTAAAACCAGTGGGGTCATTTTATGCAAGAGTGAAAATTAGAGGACCGGGGAAACCCTGCCCAAGAAAATGATCTTGCAGCAGGATTGACGAGACCCGCAACTTGTCCGTAAGGTCTCTTGGAAATGACTTAAATCTGCCCCAGGTTTTCCCCCGGTTCTTTCTTTTGTTGTCAAGTCCAATTGATAAATGGAGTGCAGTAAAACTCTGGAATAAAAAAAAAGCTGAAACCTTCATTTGTGTTCATTTGCATTAAAGTGCTTGGAACAGCTGTTTTCCTTACAGGACCAGAGAGACTCCTATCTGTTTTCTCGTCGTATTTGTCCTGCCTCCCAGGGTGAAAGACTAAAGATTAATTGCCTTAAGGTAGAGTCAGCTGTGGGAATGCTTTTTGGGGGAGAAGGTGAGGGTGGAGGAAGGCCCGGGAGGGGTCTCTTGCACGTCTAAACCGAGGAATCAAAGGTGATAACCCGGTACATGTGTAAAACAAGTAGCGTATTGACATAGAAAGAGAGAAAAGTTTAGAGGCGGGTGAGGAGAAAAAGCCCTCCACCTCAAATAAAAGCTACAGAAGGTAGTTTAATTAGCAACTTCAGAAGACAGCACTTTTAGCACTGTGCCTTTGATGCGCAGTTTAAATCACTCAGGTACAAGTTTACGGTGCTTTTTTTTTTTAAGTAGACGCTTGTAAAAAAGAAAAATCCACCTGAGAACCCTCCTAAAACATTTCCTTAGCCTTGATGACTCATTCACGTTGCTTAGTACACACGGGAAACGGTTAAAAGATGACTGTCCTAGGGTTTAGACGCACAAAAGTAGCAAGCGATGGGGCTAGCGTGGTGCCCACTTTTGGTGTTGCTTTCTTGCTTGTTGTTTGTTTGTTTGAATGGACTGAAAATGATGGTTTCCATCCTGCCTAGGGCATGGACTGCAAGGGCTCCTTCTTTAATGATCCCATGAAGCCGGTTTTCTATTTGGCATTTACTAGTTTAAATGTTGTTATAATTATCAATTTAAAAACAAAAGTAGGGTTTGGAACTGGGCTTCTTTCCCTTCCAAAGGAAAACTGTAAATAAATAATAATGGGGAGAGCAGGAGCGAATTAATTAACAAGTGCCAGTCCCCACTTTCCTTTACCTACCAGCTATTGCAAGGATGTCAAGTCGATTTTATTTGCACACAATGGAAATGATTTATTTTCTCTTAAAAGGGAGTGGGCTGGCAGATATTTGAGGAGGAGAAGGGAGCGAGCGAGCGAGAGAAAAGTTTGAAAATGCCTTGAACTATTCACTGTCGAGATGGCTAATCAGTATTGAGGCTCGAGGGCACTCGGGCAGCTTTTCAATGCGGTTTTCCTTTCATCTCAAGCTGGATGGAGGCGCTCAATTAAAAGCCTATCAGTTTGTAAGTAAATCAACGCCTATCAAAGTTGTCACATCAAACAAAACGATTATTATTGCAGCCCGCCTCCCCTATTAATCTCCCTCTAAAATAATCCGCTTGACAGGTCAGGCTGGTGAGCTGCAAACCCTGGTCAGGATCACCCAAAAACCCGGACTGACTCTTTCCCCTCGGGAGATGCAATCGCAGAAACCTCCGCCACAGCGTGCCTGGGTTGAAATCTCACTCTTTCTCTTGGCATATAGGTGTCAGGTTGCGTAGATCATTTTGCTAAAGGATGTTTAGTCTTTTGAACTGAACAACCACAACTCATCAGGCCTCTAATTATTAAAAAAAAAACCAAAACAGCTCTTAGCTTTTAATGTGAGTTGTCTGAGTTGTGTCCCCAGCCGTAATACATTTCTCCTCTCCGAAGAAGTGAGGTTTTTACCCACGAAAGCTTATGCCCAAATAAATCTGTTAGTCTTTAAGGTGCCACCAGACTCCTTGTTGTTTTTGTAGATACAGACTAACAAGGCTACCCCCTGATATTTCTCCTCTCTGTAACTCCACTGTTTAAATTTCATTGTGCCTGGAGAGTGCTTCCCTTCACCCACGCAAGGGAGTTTAAAAGATTTGCATTGCTCGAAATATTTATAAACTATGCATTTCCCAGCTTTGTTTGAATGCAAACACGTTAACTAAAAGAGATGGCCCATCAGAAATATTGCATGTGGACCTTGGAGAAAGAAAAACTTTTTGTAAAAAAAGAGAGAGACTGCGCTCATACTGTAATTGATCCATCTGCACAGGTACCCGGCCGTAGGGAGGAGGGCATTTATTTTAAATGCCGTGCATGTTAATAAAAGAACATATTTTGAATGCTTGCCAACAGAGGATTAGATTTCTAAACCCGTCCTCTGTTTGTATTGACTAATTCTGCAAAAATATTTAGCATCAGGATGGTACTTGCGTTCTTAAAATATACAAGCAAGACCTATTTGAATACGTTCTTCGCCTCTTCTGCAGGAGATACAATTATGTTCTTATAAATAATGGTCATTTTAGAGCCATCTGCAAGATAATAGTCATGTTTAAGTTAATATGCGCGTCACTTGTCAGTGATCTGTTGAACCAACTAGCAGAAATGCACATTTTGCCCATTGTTTTAGATAATACATTTTCCTAAAATGTTTCTTAAAGTGGGTTTTCTGTTCCCCTTCCCCTTTGTTACGCTGGGAGATAAGAACCTAATGCTACCAATAAAATTAAACTTTTCTCTATTAAACCCTCTGCCAGATTCGCCTATTGCTGTTGTAAGAGTTTCTTCTTTTGAGCATGAAGATTTTACTCCTAGGTTGGAATCTATTTACTAAACAGCTGTTTTCCAAAAGTATCCTGCCTTTTTATATTCAACGTGGTTTTAGTACACGAATCAATTTTATTTTAAATAAGTTTTAAGGTAACTTTTAAGGTAGTTAGGGGTTGCAAAGCAAACGAGTTTGATGACACAAAAAGGTTGTGCACGTTTCCTATTAAATGCATGTAGATTTATGATCCAGGTGATACTACTACTAAATGTACTAAGGCTAAACTCCCAATCGTAAAATAATTCATCATTCAAATTTCAGACTCTTTTAACAAATTAATATTTAGTACTACGATTGTAAGAGCGAAAAAAACACTTTTAGCAGTAACACGTTGGGCTGATCATAGAATCGCAGAAATCTCAAAAGCTTTTAAGCTTTCTTTGTAACTCTACTGTACAAGCCTTGGGAGTATGAGAATAATATTAAGCACATATTTAGTTACAGTAATCCTTCATAAATAAACTATGTCACGCAAATGGAGACAATCTTGGAGAATCTTTACTTGGATCCAGGACCCAGACATGATTTACTGATAAGTTTGTTATGGAAACTGTGCAGATCTAACAGATGTATGTTACCAGTATTGAGAATGATGTCCATTTAAATCTAAAGAAAAGCTGTAAAGCTACATATACAATGGACGCTTACAACCCAGGTACCTTTGCTAAATACACAAATGACAAGTTATCAATACTACTTGAAGTAATTACAGGCTAGCTGTGGAGGGTGTGTGTGTGTGTGTATTGTGGAGGGGGAGGAAGAGGAAGCATAGAAATATATATCTATCCCCATAGATATATATTTATAGTCTAGGTCCATGATCTGAAAATGTTAAAAGAAAATTTTAGTAATATTTAGTAAATTTGTTTCCAAGCCCCCCAATGATACTTTTAGATTTCTTTCCTAATCCCTGCTACTTTCATCTTTATTTTTACACCCTAAAATTAATTCCACCTAAAGTACATTTTTCATTTTGTACTGTACTAGTGACGTGCAAATAATTTACATCAGCGTTCATCAGGACTGTCCTGAAGTGATGGATCATTTTGTTGAGTTGCAGTAAAAGTGCAGAATGATCTATAATGATGTAATATATACATTAAAAGGGTGTCTGGATGATCCGAGTTTTGCTAAAAATGTAAAAGGGCTTTTTGATTGATAACAGGGTTGCTGTTTTTCTGCAAAGGCTGTCACAGGCTGACACAATGCTTGAGTTATTAGGGCAGAGAAGGGCAACCATAAATTTCCAACGTCAGGCAAAAACTCTCTTTATTGTCTATATGATGGATGGGCCTCCGTACTAGACACCAAATACTTCGTATCACCCTTAAATGGGAACACATTTTTCGTGGCCATAATTCATGTTTTTTAAATAGAAAGTTTGAAATGCCTGCCTATATTTCACAACCCTGACATATTTATGAATCACTCCCTGCATGCAAATATAATTATTTAAAGCACTGAGGTGACATATGGGTTAGAAATGTACCAAATGCTGTTAGTGGAGTGATTTTTTTTAATTCCCTAAATTGAACACCATAGAAAACTCTGCCTGTCTGTTCAGATCAATAAAGTCGAAGGTGAAGTTTTACTGATTTTGTCAGTGCCACATACAGATATTCGGTTTTGATTAGGTGAAACTGACAAAAGGGGAGTCTTTTTGCAATTACCATTAGGTTAATGAAAAAAACACTCATCTTCGTCCCTGGCTCATTATTTCTTTAAAGAATAATTGGTTTTTAAAAAATGAACCAGCCAGAGGAAAAGCTCATAGATATCGTTTTGCAGAATATATTTTTCGTCCTGGCTCGCAGGAAACATATGCAATCATTTTCATCGGACAAAAGGATGTTTCATAAAATAGTATTTAAGTTTTTCTATCTAGCCGGAACGAAGGACGAAAGCCGATCCTAGTGAGTGCAAAAGCTAAAAGCAGTTTTGCAATGGACAAATAATCAAATGTACTTTGTAAATGAAATATACTGACTCAATGCTGCTTGCATTTCCTAGTTGCAGACCAGTTTATTGCTTTTTCCCTGGCTGTATTGTAACATTTCACTTAACCACGAAGCTATTTATTTGCCTGTATAACACACACACACACACATACACACACACATACACACGTATATATACACAGAGAGTGAGATTTGCACTGATGGACGCAAGTCAATTTTTCGTGGATTTTGCCCAATGTCTGCAATTTGGAAAACACATGGGTTGGTTATCAACAGATAAAACACCTTCTAATATTGTTATCGTCATCCGTCCCCATTTAGCTTGTAACCCAGCCACCGAATTGCTAGATTCATCCGGAGCTCCCCGCCGCAAAAATGATCTTTCCAACCCCTATAGATAAATGCAGCCCTGCTTTCTTATGTTAGCCAGCAATATAATCTTACAGATCTGTTGCAGCTACTACGTTCGCAATTCCAAAAACAAACATCCGACACATCTCTACGTTACCTGTTAATTTATACAGTGCG